AATTTATTAGAGTGGCACGGGGTATTGGATTACATGAGTCAATTAGGATTAATCAGGCCCACTTCTAAAGCTGAAGTACATGGCCACTATGCAGGGGGGAAAGGTGGAAGGGATGCTGAATGGCAATGCTGACTTCCACTGTGGGCATCTAGCACTCACACACCCCTCCCACCCCAACCACACTGAGAGAATTACATCATCATATTTATCTGAAACAGTAACAGTGTTAACTTTATCATGATCATGGAAAAGATGGCCATAGGGTACTAGGATTTTATTTCCTTTCTGTAGAACTTTTACACTTTACCTGTAACTTTTTAATTACTTTTAAAAAAAAAATCCTACAAAATTTACTTTCCACATATCCTTTACTTTTCCAAATGTTTCACTGTAGCAGTCTATCAAGGAGCTCACCTTCTTGGTAAGAAGGGGAGAAAGCAATGGGCAAGTAAGACAAGTAAAATGAAGTCATTGTAAATCATGATCATTACTATGAAGAAAACAAAGTAACTAGAAAAGTCACTGACGAAGCCCCCTTTAGAGTATGTTGTTTAGAAGACCTCTGTAAGGAAGTGACATCTGGCCTGCGACCCAAAGGATAACGAATAGCCTGCATGAGAAGAGCTGAAAGAAGCATTCCACACCTAGAAACAACCAAAGCGAAAGCCAGTGAGTGGAAAACAATTTGTAAGGCATGAGGATAGAAAGGAGGCCAAGTAGCTGGAACATAATGAGTAGGGGGGAGAATGATGGGGGTAAGACTTTGGAGAGCTAGACTGAAGTGAGATCATGCAGGCTCTTGGAAGACCATGGAAAGGAGTTTGGCTTTTTCTGAAAGGGTGTTAAACAGTAGAGTGATATGATTTGCTTTATGTTTTTAAAAGACCCCTCTGGTTTCTATGTTGAGAGTGGAAGGAAGGTAGGGGGCAGGGTAAGGCAGAAATGGAAGTATGAAAATCAAGCAGGGTACTACCGCCACTCTCTTCCTCATAGCAATTCTACTGGACTGTACATTTTGTCCTATAAAGGCAGTTTTTAAAAAAGAGGTTTTTTTTTTAACGTCTTTATTGGAGTATAATTGCTTTACAATGGTGTGTTAGTTTCTGCTTTATAACAAAGTGAATCAGCTATAAATATACATATATCCCCATATCTCCTCCTTCTTGCATCTGCCTCCCACCCTCCCTCTCCCACCCCTCTAGGTGGTCACAAAGCACCGAGCTGATCTCCCTGTGCTATACGGCTGCTTCCCACTATTTTACGTTTGGTAGTGTATATAAGTCCATGCCACTCTCTCACTTTGTCCCAGCTTACCCTTCCCCCTCCCCATGTCCTCAAGTCCATTCTCTACATCTGAACCTTTATTCCCGTCCTGCCCCTAGGTTCTTCAGAACTTTTTTTTTTTTTTAGATTCCATATATATGTGTTAGCATACAGTATTTATTTTTCTCTTTCTGACTTACTTCACTCTGTATGACAGCCTCTAGGTCCATCCACCTCACTACAAATAACTCAATTTCGTTTCTTTTTAAGACTGAGTAATATTCCATTGTATATATGTGCCACATCTTCTTTATCCATTCATCTGTCGATGGACACTTAGGTTGCTTTCATGTCCTGGCTATTGTAAACAGAGCTGCAATGAACATTGTGGTACATGACTCTTTTTGAATTATGGTTTTGAACAGTTTTGAAAATGTCTAATCAGCTTTATTTAATAATGTATTGTCACTTTAAATTAAATGTTAATTTTAACTATGAAGACCCATAGGACATCAAACTTAAACAAGGTACTCACATTTATTTTTCCTTCCGTTCAAATATGTCTATTTGTCTTGGCTAATTATTTCAGGTGAATCACGTAGGCTCACTTCCTCTGAAAGTTTTGCTTGTGATACATATGAATTGATAGTTTCATGTAATTTTTACTTACATTTCTCTAATTATAGTGATATTAACTGAACAGAGAAAAAAATAGGTGATCCATAGTTACAAATAATACTAAGAAACCATAGAATCAAATTGATTTCTATTTTTTTAAAAAATAAAGCATTTATGCTTTATTATAACTGTTATACCAAGTTTCCAAATACTTCAAATTTCAGGTTGAAAAATTAAAATCTATGGAGAAGCTTCTAGCTAAATAAGCATTCTTACTTCCTGAAATTTGTCTTAACACAAAAATTAGTATAAATGCAAACAATTTTTAAAAATTAGTATGTGAGTGCTCATGCTACTGAAATCACATTAGATTCCTTGCTGTTCCATAAACATAATAAGCCCACTCTAGTCTATGGCTTTCTCTCACTATTCTACATGGTGGAATGCCCCTGCCCTTGCCCCTGAAATATATCTGCAAGTCTCTCTTCTTTACTTTATGCAGGTGTTGGCTCACATATCTATTACCTTTTCAGGGAAGCTCTCTGTGATTCTGTTTAAAATACCATCCCTATCTCTCTCTCTCTCTATATATATATATATGTATGTGTGTGTATGTGTGTGTATATATACACACACACACATTTCATTTCTTTTCTTCATAGCACTTACCACTATTAGGTATAACATATGTTTATTTTCTGGCTCCCCTCACAGGAATATAAGCCCCAAACAATGCAGGGACTACTTTTGGTTGTTGTTGATTGCTGTATCTCAAACACTTAAAACAAAAAGCACAATACACAGATGTTCAACACATACTTGTTGAATAATAGTGTGTCCTTTTCAAATTAAGACCTATATTCTTAACATTAACTGAGTCTAGGCTGTCTTAAACTCATGATTCAACTATATCCTTTTCAAATGAAGACTTTCTTTGCTCCTGTATTATGAATCTCAGGATTAGGATCTGGGGCCACTATTCTCCTTTCTCCGAGAATATATGCTCCCTTGAAGCTAATGTTATCAGCTCTACCACTGATCAGTCCTCTGTAGCTGTCCATTCTGGTTACTCTCTTATTTATTATCAACTTTAGTTCCTGGTTTACTATCATATTTTCCCTTTTCAAGACTATATACAGAGTTTCCCTGGTGGCGCAGTGGTTGAGAATCTACCTGCTAATGCAGGGGACACGGGTTTGAGCCTTGGTCTGGGAAGATCCCACATGGCGCGGAGCAACTAGGCCTGTGAGCCACAACTACTGAGCCTGCGCGTCCGGAGCCTGTGCTCCGCAACAAGAGAGGCCACCACAGTGAGAGGCCCGCGCACCACGATGAACAGTGGCCCCCCTTGCCACAACCAGAGAAAGCCCTCGCACAGAAAGGAAGACGCAACACAGCAAAAATAAATAAACTCCTACCCCCAACATCTTAAAAAAAAAAAAGACTATATACAGTCATTCCCAGTGACTTTCAAAAATATATGTAGATGGCCCATCCAACAGCACAGTCTCTTAATTCTTTTCTTTTTTAAAAAATTTATTATTTTTGGCTGCACTGGGTCTTCGTTGCTGCGTGCGGGCTTTCTCTAGTTGCGGTGAGCAGGCTTCTCATTGCAGTGGCTTCTCTTGTTGCGGAGCATGGGCTCTAGGCGCACGGGCTTCAGTAGTTGTGGCTCACGGGCTTCAGCAGTTGTGGCACACGGGCTTAGTTGCTCTGCGGTATGTGGGATCTTCCCGGACCAGGGCTTGAACCAGTGTCCCCTGCATTGGCAGGCGGATTCTTAACCACTGCACCACCAGGGAAGCCCTTAATTCTTTTCTGTTTCACTGTTTATTTGTTTTTTTGGTTTGGCTGTTTATCCCTAGCACTTCTTTTTGGTTTTCTTAGGTTTTCCATCTCTCTGCTTACATTATCTTCCATGATGTCTACTTTATCCATTAGAGCCTTTAGGATACTAATAATAATTGTTTTAAATTCCCAGTCTGATAATTCCAATATTCTTGCCGTGTCTGGGTCTGATGCTTTCTCTTTCTCTTCAAATTATGTTTTTTGCCTCTTGATATAACTGGTAATTTTTTTTTATTGATATCTAGATATGCTGTATCGGGTAAAAGAAACTGCTGGAAATGGTCTTCAGCAACGCAGCAGTGATGTGTGGGGACAGAGGAAGCATTCTCTAGTCCTATGATTAGGTCTCAGTCTTTTAGTGAGCCTATGCCTATGGACTGTGTACTTCACAAGTGTTCCTCAGTTTTCTTTCTGCCCTCTTGGGTGGGACAGGATGGCTAGAGTGGGCTGGAGTTGGGTATTTCCCTTCCCCTAGGTCAGTTAGGCTCTGATAATATCCCAGCAGATTGGGCTCTGGTTAACTAGGTCCCCGCCGAGAGCAGCTTTCTTTAGAACAGAGTGCTCTTAGATATTTCAAAATGGGTCCTTTTCCCTTCCTCCTGCTGGAAGCCCAAGAAGATTTTTTGTCAGATATGTACTGTGGGAACCTAGTCGAACTCCTAGAGGTAAACGTTATGATTTTGTCCTCCCTACCCGCCCATGACTGAGTCCCCTGAAGTTTTTAACTCTTAGAGTTGTCTGCACTGGGCTTCCAGCAATTCATAATTATAGTTCAGATTTTCTTACCCTGGACTGATTCCCACAGTAGTTTATGCTCACCTCTGCTTAGGTAAACTGTGACTCCCAATATTCTCCTGTCTCTCCAATCTCGGGGACAGAGGTTTGTCCTGTGTCCTCTCCCACCTTACGGATCCAAAAAGAGTTGTTGATTTTTCACTCAGTTAGGATGGAGCGGAAACTTGTAAGCTCCTTACACGCCGAACCAGAAACAACTTAATTCTCTTAACTTTATCACCTCCAAAGACTATTACACAATCTAAACTCATATCTTAGACTAACCCCAGACCACGTAAGCCCTAATAACTGCACTACCTGTGAAATGTCAATTTTGGGCATCTTATTCAGCCCACCATCACTTTAGGTTGGCAATAAGTGTTTGGCCTCTTAGAGATGTCCAGTCCATTGACCCCCACCTCCCACCCTCACCCCACTACTTTTTAATTATCTGTATTTACTCCCACATTTACCCAGTTTGAATTTCATGGTTCATCATTATATTCATTCCTTTTTAAGCACAATCACCAACTCTCTCTGTTGAACTCACTTAACAGAATCCCAGAACTGCTTGAACTCAGTTTGGTTCCTTGCGCAGAGAACCAAGCAACTTAATAAAGAAACAATACAATTAGCTGACTGATTTTTTTTTTGAAATTCATGACCACAGACTGCAAATGAACACTCAAGACAACCTAGCAGTCCTACTATGCTTCCCTAGGAAGTTCATGTTCACATTCCCTGAGGTAAAAATGTGTTATTTTTTTCCTGCTTTGTCAAACTCCTTCACTCTACCCATTTTCAGCTGGTGATCCTACTCCATAATTCATTGTGAATACAGAAACCATCAGAGAGGATTTACTTCATTTTCATTCCAACAAATATTCACACCTCTCTGCATCTGTACTCACCTTCTCAGCCTCTTTTCTGTAAAAAATTGAAAGAGTGTCATTTTTCCTATCATGGGCAATTCTAACTCTTAACACCTACAGTTTCTTTTCTTCTCAGTATTTTGCTTCTTCAGTTACTCCATTTGTCTACTGCACTTCATCACATTTTCATTCTCTACTTATTATTCATGCAACATACATTAGTTATTATTCTTCCCACATACATTAGTATTTCCTACTTAAAAATCCTCTGACTTCCTCCATCTATCACTACACCTCTCTGAACTTTTCACAGCAAACGTTACACATAAACACATTTACACATATATATATACAATTTTTATAAGAAAATGATATTGAATATTTATAACAAAAAGTAGCATTCTCTCCCCCACCCCTCTCCACTCCCAACTATCTTCAGCATTTCTAGCTCTTTGATATGTCTCCACATTTCCAAATAATATGTTTGTATTGCTTTTTATCAATTAACGTATTTAGATACTAATGAATGGCAAATGAGGACCTCAACTCAAATGTTGTTACTTTACCATCCCCAATTTATCTTGATTCCATCTTGTCTACATCTCTAAAGCTACTCCTCTAATCCTAACAGGCCATTATACACTAAAGTAGGTCCCTAAGTGGAGAGCTAGAGAGTGGAGAGCCACTCTTGCTACTACTATTATCCATTTTCTACACAGCAGCTAGAACAATCTTACGGAAGGCAAATCAGATTATGCAATTCTCTGGTGTAAAAACTTCCAATGGCATCCTGCTGTGTTTGGAATTAAACCCCAAATGCTTTCCATAGCCCTCAAGGCTCTAGATCAAAGGAGGTTCCTTGGCCATCTCTTCAATCTCATGTCAACCCAGCTTCCCCCTCGCTATGCTTCAGCTATATTTGTCGCCTTCAGTTCTTCACACGTCACAAACCCTTTCATACCTTAGGGTCTTTGCACTTGTTCTCCTTACTGCTCTTCTTGTGGTTCTTGCCACAGTAGGCTCTACCTCACTCTTCCAGTTACAGCTCAAAGAGGCCTCCTCTGACCACCCCACTGCTCTTCCCATCTGAGTATGTCTCTCTCTACTCTCTCTGACATTACACTATCTATCTCTCCTTTATAGAGCCCATCCCAGCTTGTAAGCTTATTTCCTCATTAACCTCTCTTCTCCTCCTTCCCCAAACTAGAATGTCAATTCCAAGTAAGAAAAACCCTTGTCCATCTTAACACTATTTTGAATGTAACTAGCCCTAGGATAGGTATATAAAGCCCATACAAGAAATACTTGGATTAATTCTGCAATCTGTGGACTAAATATAAATTTAACTAGCTCGCTAAAGTATACATTGTACCCAGCAGGAGTGGGATAGTAAATAATGGCCCTTGAAATCTCATAAGGCATAAGTTAACTGACCACATTCCTAGTCAGTTATTAGAAAATCTGTCTATATCCAGTTTGGATTCTCTTGTTCAGGGTCCTCCAGGGCCACTCTTGACAAGGGACACTAAGGTTCTTCATTTCGGGAAAGGATACCCACTTCTACCTGGTGCAGATTCTTTTGTACTGGAAAACAGGAGGTGCTTGAGGGATTGAGATAGTCTGTGGTCTGAGTCTACTTTGGGATTTTACGGCATGCAACTGCTCTACTGTGGAGGAGAGCCTGCTAATTTTCTTTTAGGCAGATTCCTTTTCCATTTAGCTAATGCTGAAGACTTTAGTGAGTCTGGTTTCTCCTTAAGTTGTCAATCTGGACTTGTTTCTTAGCAACAGTTGAGACTCTGTCCATCCCCGTTGTTCTCTGCTTTAGCCTCAAAGCAAACAAGAGAAAAAGTAGGCAAGGCAGTTTGCAGTTTGTCATTTAGTAATATTCCCAGACACATACTGCATTCCAATCCTAGTGGCTATTGATAAACAATGTGAAGGATCATCACACTTTTGTGAAGCATGAGAGGGGATGGGAAGTGGAAAATGTTTTGGAAGGAGCTGAGGAATTAGAGTCCTTAATATCATTTGTTCTTCCTTGAAAGTCCTATTCCTATTACTAAAATTTCACTTTCTGGTATTCAATGTCAAAACTTTAGTGTTAGAAACAGGTGGAAAAAAAAAATTATGTTGCCATTCAATGAGCCCCTTGAGTAATCTCTTGATCTAGTTGTACATTCTCAGCCCAAAGGCAAATTGGCTTCCAATAATTGCTAAATCAAATTTGCTAAATTTCACACAACCCGTTCCAATCTACTTTCACCTAGGAACTCTGTTCAGAATTCCTCTCTTTTCCAACATACTTTTCAAAACTCCACACATAGAAACCAATGCACTCAATATTTTTTATATTTGGCTACCAAGATCTCTGGGCCCTACCTCAGTGACTACATTAGTCTGAGTTCTGAGACAATATTGGAGAAAGCCTGGGTAAAAGATTCACTATTGCACAACAGAAGCTAACAGGTTCCCATCTTAAGGTAGGAGAGTCTTTATTACCTGCAGCCCCACCTCGATTCAGTCAGTTTTAGTCTCTCTGAGCTTTGTTATTTGCGTTCCCATTCATAGTCAAACTAGAGCAGGACACTTTCAGTTGCAATTGGCTGATCCACTTAGGCAAAGACATGAAATTTTATTATAAGGATAAATTATGATAAATAATTCAAAGATAGGGAGCAGACTACCCTTCTCAAGGGACTGAGCTCAGGAACTGGAAAGCTATCAGGAACCAAGGCAGCTATCATACATGTGTCTGATATGTCAGCACTTCATGAAAACACAGACTGGATTCAAACTGCCCAGGTTTTATTTTAGCTTCCAAAAAGAAAGAGAGAAAGAAAAGAAAAATATTTTAGCTTCAGCGCTTCAGCACGTATTTTTAGTCAAGCTTCTCAGTTTCCTTACCTGTAGATAACAGTACCAATCTCATAGTTATAACATTTATAACACCAAGTGATACAGTAAGTAATCTGAGATTATTCTTGTTTTTGCAACACAACTCTGACTTTCCATGTGCTGCTTCCAAACAAAGTACCCTGGCCTAACTTTACGTTTCTCAGGAAAAGATCAGCTGTCTGATGAACTTTCCAATTTTAAATTATCAGAACAATCTGATTGGTCCAGATAGGGTTCAGTTGTTCATCCTGGCTAAAGCTAGGATAGTGTTCCTATGAAACCTTTCGCAAACCTAAATGAGGTAAAGCAAAGAAGCAATTACCTTAGGACACATCTTGCTAATGGATGCACAAAATAAATGGAGATAAAGCATTGATGCTCACAGACACAGTTCAAAGCATGATGGCTTGATGCTGAGAGGCTGAGTGTAGTTCCCAGGGAAGGAGCTTGGAAGTGCCACTCTTGCTGCTCAGGGCGCATGCCACCTGGTACAACGGCTCACTGCAAAACAAATGCTGAATGCTATTTTCGCTTTTCATCTTATTTTGTAAAAGCAAAAGTCCTCTTCGGATTTCTTTTGTTTAGTGAAAACAGGTACTAAGGTATGTTTTTCATAAAAGTGAAGTGGCATAAAGTGAACTTTTGAAAAGGGGATACCTATACATATATAGCTGCTGAGGCCCACCCTAAATGTCTCTGGATATTCCTCAGTGGTAGGGGATCATGAATCAAGGCTGAATTTTTTTTTTAAGAATTTTTTTATACTTCTCCCAACTCACTGATCTTCTATTCTTCCATAATCACAAAGATAAGGTCCCAATGTAAGAACTTGCCCAAAGTCATACGGTAATAATGGATGAAGGTGTGGTTCAAAACTAGGTCTGACTCCAAATCCAAAATTTACTTTCACTATACAATGCACTAGAGTTGCTTTTATCTGTTGAGAACATGTTAGGTAGCCAACCCTTTATTTAACCAAGTCCTTAAGATACAAGATTTCAAGTAGTTCAAAATTAGGTTTCCTGATTTTTTTTCATAATTTTTAATTTTTAAAAATTGGGGTACGGCATGTGTAAAGTTCACAAAATTTAAATGTCCAGCTTGATGAACTTTTTCATATGTATGCATTCATATAACAACCAATGAGATCAAGATCCAAAACATTTCCATCATTTCATAAGGCTCCCTTTTGCCCCTTCTAAGTCAATACCCATGCCCAGAGAGGTAACTACTATCTTGACTTCTATCAACATGAATTACTTTTTTTCTTGAATTTCATATAAATGGAATAATATTGGGTTGGCCAAAAAGTTTGTTCGAGTTCCATCACATCTTATGGAAAAACCCAAACAAACTTTTTGGCCTACCCAATACAATATGAATTGGTTTTTGTCTATTTCACTCAACAAATACCTATGAGATCCATCCATATTATTATGTGTAGCAGTTTATTCATTTTTATCGCTGGGTAATATTCCATTGTAAGAATATATTTCACTTTGTTCCTATTTGAGGCCATAATGAATCAAACTACTATGGATATTTGTATACAAGACTTTTAGAAGACACCTGCACTCAATTTCTTGGATATACACTCAGGAGAGAAACTGCTGAATTACAGGCCTAAATTCAGCTGTAATGGATACTGTCTATCCATTTCCCAAAGTGACTGCAATCAAAGTATACCCCCACCAGCAATAAGCGTTTCAGTTGCACTATATTTTTTAAACTAGGAAAATAATGTAACCAGTCTATTGAGCTAGTCACACTTCATAGTTCTACAAATTTATTTTATTTGAGGTTCTCTTGTTGCTGGTTATAAGCAAGGCTAAGTTGTTAGGTGGAGCTAAGTTGTTAGGTAGATCCTCATTCATTAGCACTCTTACTAAACTGTAAGCCCCACCCGTTAAGACTTTACTAAAAAATACTACTTAGGGCTTCCCTGGTGGCGCAGTGGTTGGGAGTCCACCTGCCGATGATGCAGGGGACGCGGGTTCATGTCCCGGTCTAGGAGGATCCCACATCCCGCATGCCATGGAGTGGCTGGGCCCGTGGGCCTTGGCCACTGAGCCTGCGCGTCCAGAGCCTGTGCTCCGCAACGGGAGAGGCCACAGCAGTGAGAGGCCCGCGTACTGCAAAAAAAAAAAATACTACTTAGCTTGCCATCCTATTTTATAGCAGGGTTTCTCAACAATGACATTATTGTAATTTTGGGCCAGATAATTCTTTGATGTGGGGGGTTGTCCAGTGCATTGTAGTATCTTTAGCAGTACCCCTGGCCTTTACCCACTATATGTCAGCAGCTCCAACCCCCTTTCCCATTCATTGTGACTACCAAAAATGTTTCCATATTTTGTCAAATGTCCTGAGAGGCAAAATCTCCCCGTTAATAACCACCGTTTTCAAAATAAGTGACCTGGCCTCTCCCTACTTCATCTAAACTAAATGTTGAGGCAATGCAGTGTTAACATGATGATGTCCATAGTTTTTAAACGTCAGTGGCACATTAGAATCATCATTTAAAAAGCGTTTAAAGAATGCATATGCCCAGGTCCCTTCTCAGAACAATGGAATGGAATTCCTTGAAGTAGGGCTTCAGCATTTTTATCGTGAAGTTCCTCAGGTATTTCTAAATTTTGGCACAGTTCAGAACTACTTTCTTAACAGATTACTTTTCCCATGAATATATGCTTTAAAACAGATTTCTACCAAAAACTTTTCAAACATTAGTAGAGCACAAGGCATGTATTTGGGGAGTAGAAGGCTCACAGAAACTCTCAAATCACAGCAATTAAATGGCCACCTATAGTCCATAACTATAAACACTGGTTATCTAGTATTCAGTTCCTGATTGAAAAAAAAAATTTTATTTTTTCCCCAAATTACTTTGAAATGTTCATGTATTTTCTTTTTAAATTATTATTATGTGGTAATCTTTCCAGCTAATTCTTGTAGCTAACTCATATTCACTCTCTCTCTCATAATGACATTTTCCATTGTCTTTGAAACACTCTAAATCTTTCACCTAAATAAAAATCCACAAAAGCCAGCAAAAAAAAAAAAAAAAAACTCATATTCCCTCCCAAGTCAAAGTTAAATCACCTAAATGAGAAATTCAGACTCAGATTCCACTTTTTCATTTATCACGTTCTACTCCAGTCTGGCTTCTAGCCCTATTATTCCAACAAAATAGTTCTTGCTAAGGTAACTGATGACCATCATGTTACTTAATCCAGTGGCTATTATTCAGGCCTTATTTCACCATAGCACTGGACACTATTCACCACTCCTTCCTTGAAGCACTCAGACCTTTGTCCTCTATTGCACTTCACCCTTCTGACATCGCAACTCCTTATCCAGCTAATCTTCCTCTACCTAGCCAAAAATTAATTGAAGTTCTTCACTGTACAGTCCTAGGCTGTCTTCCAAGCCTATTTCACATACACTAAAGATTTTAATTTCCCCCTACACACTTAACAGTTTTTATTTTCAGTTTAGATCTCCCTTCTCAGGTCCAGACTTCTATCCAAAAGCTTCTTGGATGACTCAATGACACGAGAAACTCTAAACTAAATTCTAAACTAAATCTATCATCTTCACACCTACCCATTTCCAAACATATTACCATTCAGTTCCATTCCATTGTATGTACAGCTTCCCTCCTTCTCCTAACCCTGAATCCAACTGCATCAACAAATCCTATGGACATTTCCTTCCAAATCTACTCTCTCTACTTCCATACTACTACCCTGCTTCATTAAAGTTATTTCTAATCTTTTAGCCTCCTAATTCAAGAATTTTGTGTCGACTTTGACCCACCTTTAATCCATTTTTGGAATTTACAGTTAAAATTTTCAATTTGTAAATCTCATCATTACCACCCAATTTAAAATCTGTCAAAGGTTTCCCTTTATTCCAGGCAAAGAACCTACTTCTTAACCTGGCCTTTGGGCCCTGAATGGTCTGGCCACCATGCAGCTTCATCATCCTCAGTTGTTGCTCCAGCAGTACTGTACTTCTTTTAGTCCCTTATAGAGTGACAATGTAACTTATCCAAACCAGAACACTTCTGAAAGTAAAAAAAGGCCTATCCTTGGCAAACTGGGATGTAAGTTGATATTATCTTTCTGGCCCCCGAATTTTTGCCATGTTGTTACCGTTTACCTGTTACGAAGCTCTTCACTTCCCTTTTATCTAATCCACATTAAATTCTTAGTTCTCATGGTTTGCAAGGCAGAAATAGAGACACAGATGTAGCGTACAAACGTATGGACACCAAGGGAGGCAAGCGGGGGTGGGGGGTGCGGTGGGATGAATTGGGAGATTGGGATTGACATGTATACACTGATGTGGATAAAATAGATAATAAGAACCTGCTGTATAAAAAAATAAAATTCAAAAAAAAATTCTCAGTTCTCAGATGTCACTTCCTTTAGGGAGACTTTTGGGACTAGGGTTCTGAACTATGAATTCTCACGGCACTATGTTTCTTCATACCATTTTTCTCAGTTATGATTTCCAAGTGTGTTTGTTTCTTGCACTAGACTTTAACTCTTGAAAGTGTCTGTGTTTGCTCTATTATAACCCTCCCTCCCCCACCCCTGTAGAATGCCTGGTATGCAATGTATTGAATAAATGTGGATATAATGCAATGGGAAACAGAGTCTGCTCAAGGAGCTCACAATGTAATATGGAAACAAATGCTTTATTACAATATAACGATATGCTGTATTTGCAGAATACAAAATTTCCTAAAAGGGAAATGAGAGAGCTACATGACATGTCTCGTAGGGTTTTGGCACAATTTGTCAGTGTACTCAACAGCTATTGATTTACTTACATCTAAAATAAAATGATTCATAAGACAGATGGACTATATCCATTTACAGTGATACTGATACATTCCCAAAGACCTGGAGAAATGTATGGCTGGAGTGTCAAGTGTCTGCTAGGAATGATGGGATGCAATGCTGGAATCATATTGTGAACAAAGTAATTAAAATATTACGTATGCAAATATATGTGGTACACTTAAACATATGTATTTGAAGCAGGGAAGTGATATCACTAGATTTCAAATCTGAAGGAAGCCTATAGGGTGACCTGGAGGGAAAGGTGTAGGGAATAGAACCTAAGTAAACAAAGTAGTGGGGATTAAGGAGAAAGGCTGAAGACAACATACATGAGGTAAAATGGACAGTAAACAAAGGATTTGGGGGAGAGGAAGGAATGATACAGCATCAAGGCATCAATCTGATATTTTGAGGTTAGCTACTTAAACAACACTTTTCCCCATCTGCACACTTAATTTTTAAGTGAAATCTTTGTATCCACTTCAATACCTATTAGATTTTATACACAGTTGCTTCTTAGTATCATCTCTAAGAGCGTTACATTTGAAATTTTACTTACTATGATTTAAGAATTTATCACTAAAAATCTCCAAATACAGTGGCCATAAACAAGGTGGATGAGCTGTTGGTGGTTATCAGAACAATCTAGTTTTTCCAAACACTGCTTAGAACCTAGAAATTGTGCATTTCAGAAAGGGAGTGTTCAGCATGTGTAATTAGGAAAAACTTTCCAAGGTGACTGACTCCTGTCCCTGCCCAACACTGGGAACCACAGCTACTCTCCTATAATTTTTAAGATCAAGAAAATAGAAAATGTACAGTAAATTTTCACTGTAAGATGACTTGGGATTTCATGGGTTCTATTTATAGCAGACTTTGTAAATTTAAGTATCATATTTGGAGGACACTTTCTCTGTTTGGCAAAAACCCGGGAAATGATGTCATAGATTGAGATTCTAGAGTATTTTAATATTGTCCTGATTGTTTTAGCAGCTTTTTGTATACAAATCCTCTAGGCAACAAGAACATAATTATGGAATTAAAATACTATCTTGGCATCCAAAATGTTAACAGAAAAGCAAGAGTTGTTACTGTCTTTATGCTGCACATCTCACAATTCTGGGTAAGTGGTTTTCAATCTATTCCCACCTAAGGATACCCATTGGTAACTAGTCCTAGTAGAGCATGTCAGAATTAAGAACCTATAAAGTGCTGTCCCAGATTTTGTAAAAGTAATATTCTTTCCAAAGAATATGAAATTTCCCAAATGGAAAATCAGATAGTAATAAAGACCTCCTGGTTGATGTTAATTTTCAGGGATTTTTGCTATTCATGTGTTCAGATTATTTACTGTTTGTCTATTGTTTTCAGTAGACTTTTCAAAAAGTAGACATACAGTTTGTTTAAACAAAGTGAAACTGAGAATTTAACTATGCAGATAAAATATGGTCAAAAAATATTTTTGTCTTATTTATCAACTGACTTTTAAAAAACTGAACTGGTAAGATTTTTCAATTTTCCACTTACCTTGTATTTCTCCACAGTCTCAATAGTCATTCTAAAATCCTGTGACGTCATAAAGTATATTATAATTTTACCAGAAATATAAGTCTCCAAGGTTCAATATATTATTAAAAATTTGGCAAGGTTTTTTCTTTTGTCTGCAAAACAAGTGTCTCAAAATTATACGTAGCATATCACATCCAAACACCAACTCAGTTTAAAAAGGTGCTTTCAAAAAACATATAAAACAGATTAAGTCAATACAGTAAGCATTTTTTGGTGAGGTAACAAAATGCAATATGGTTATAATTGAAGACTTTATTATCTGAATCACACTTCTGATTACAAAATTCTTTACCTGCCATGTTTTTCTCGGGTTTTTATTTTTTACTTACCACTCTAGTAATCCAAGAAATAAATTAGTCCGAGGAACAGGAAGTTCCTATTATCAAGGCACCTTATCATAATTTTATAAAGCACAGTATTAAAAATTAGCACTTAGTTTCTAAGGACTTCAGAGATGAATATTTGAAAGATCTTTTTATTCCTCACAACCCAGAATTATAGCTATTTAATAACTAGGATAAAAAAACAGGCTGCGCATAGATCATTTTGCAAACTATGGTGGTGTTTCATTTTGTTTCACTATTCATTGACCACAGACATACTCATTTTTTTCGAGAGACTGTGTCTACCTGTTTGCCTTCCCCTACTCCCCAGGGGTGAGTATACCTTTCCATATAATAAATACATATTTGGTGTTATGTTTGGAGATCTTTTTGAGGGCTCGGAACAAACTGTTTTAACAGACAGTAGACTAAAACTTGAATATTTCCCACATGTGAAAATAATTATTTTGGGAATGAAGCTACCGCATTCAAACTCATTTGACTTGGAAGGCAGTCCTTTACATCAGATCAAATAACTGAAGAATGGGATTAGAAAGTTTCAGAAATTATCATTAACCTGGGCTGACTCAAGACTGATCTGTGGACGAGAAAAATAATGGAAGTGTAAAATAATTCTGACTTAAAAAAATGGTTTAAAGGAGAGAAGCGGAACACTCCCGTGCTTGAAAAGGTAGTGTTTCTTTGGACAGATCTAAAAGGTTGTAACTGAGGCCCTCAGTTACAGTTATGAAAGAAACCGTCAACTAAGTTGCAGTACGCTAACCTGCGACAGTTACTAACGTCTCTCGCGTTGCATTTTTTGTAGTGATTTGGCACCGCACCCTCCACCAGCCCTTCAGGAAGCGACCTGGAAACGTTCTACACGTTTTATTCCTGAACCGGGCACGGGCTACCCACAAATGAGTCAAGAAGGGTCACAGGGTGTCAACAACTCGGTCTCTGTTTTCTCTCCGCCTCCTCAGGTGCCCGGCTCGCACCTCCCTTAGGGAGCCTTTGTCTCAGGTCGCCTAAGCGTAGGAGGCGGCGGGAGGTGACCACAGTGGCCCAACAGTTGGGTTCCCAGGCTGCCTGGTGTGACGCAGCATTCCCCTCCCCGCCTCTCCAGACAGGCGCTCAGACCCGGCGCGGGGCCGAGGCCTGGGCTACCGACCGCACGTTCGACCCCGCCCCCTCGGCTTATCCAACACAGCCCTTCCGCGGCTCCCCAAGCCCCATCAGTCTCCAATATCTCCCCACCCCTCTGTTTCCCTAGTTCCTTCTCGGGCTCTCGGTTGTGACGTCCTTACGCAACCGCCCCGAGTGACAGTAGCCTCCATACCCGCAAGGAGCGAGCCTGCAGCTCCCACTTCCCGGAATTCAAGTCCGGGCCGCTAAGGGAGGGAACCCGGGCAAGGCTCAACAGCCCACCACGGTAGCCAGAGTCCAGCAGCCTCTGCGCGGCCGGCGTGCGCGTTCCCATCAGTGCGCGTGCGCGCACTCGCCCTCCGCCCCGACACAGCACCAATCGTCTTCTTCCTACGCCCCACGACTCCAAAACGTAGCCCCTCCCACTGTCCGCGCGCCAGTTGGTGGAGTTCGGCGTGCGCGCGCCCGCTTGCCCGCCTCGCGCCCAGTGGGGAAGGGGAGTGAGCCGAGCAGCTTACGTCGCGCGGGAGGCGGAGGCAACGGCTACCTCTGTGGCGGCGGCGGCGGCGGCGGCGGCGGAGGCGCCTACGACGGAGACGGTTGCGCTAGCTCTCTCGGCGTCATGGCGGCTGCCGGGAGCCGATAAGCGGCGGGAGCGGGGGCGCGCGCGCGGCCGCGGTGAAGACGACGACTCGTTACTTCTTGCTTTTGCTGACCTCGCCGTTGGTGCTTTAATAATGAATTGATTGTTGGATCCGCTCCGCAGGGGATAGCGCGTTGGAGCCGCGGGCCGGGGCTTCCCCTTCTCCTCCGCGTCCTTCCCCTTCCCTCTCGCCCTCACGGACTCCTGCTTACCCCGAAACCCCCGGAGCCCGAGGACTCTTGGTGGCGGAGACCGCGGGCCCGGGCACAGGGGAGGCCGCCGATCGAGTTGGCTCTCTCCGCCCCGCGAAGCCTGCACGCCCGCCGGTAAGAAGGGGGTCGGCGGGCGGGTCTGGATGTGGCGGGGAGGACGGGAGCTGGCCAGGCGGAGGGCGGGGGCGGCGCGGTGTCCGGGCAGCGGCCCAGCGGCCGGGCGCCGGGCATAGGCCGGGGCGGTCTGAGAGGGCCGGCGGCGGCGGATGGACTCGCCGCTCAGGGGGCGTGTGAGTGGCGAGAGCAGGCCGGCGCCGAAGACCGCATCCTCTCTCCGGACGGGCGTGCAGCTGGCGGTCGAGACCGGGCTTCCTCGGCCTGGGGCAGGCCGGGCCGCGAGGGGAAAGCTGCGAGAAGCTAGCTGTGCGCTTGGCCGGTGCGTGGGTCCCGCCGCCACCCGGGCTCCCAGCACGTGGGGAGCGGCGGGGAGGGGGAGGGGGCAGCAGCCCGGGCGAGCCCAGGAGGGCGCGGGGTGGGTCTGTAGGAAGTTTGAGGCGGGAAGGGAGACTCCGGGACCGAGATGGAGGCCCTGGGAGGGATGGGGGTGGGGGGGGGGGGTGCGTCCGGGTGGCCGGCTGATTGGAGCGAAGCTGCGACGGACGGGGGAGGAAGGTTTCCAACCTCCTTTCGAGAACCGCTTGAAAACTTAGCAGGAGGAAAGCAACTGATAAAAGACGGGGCAAAGAAAAGGCGAATTGAAGAGGTTTAACGATTTAGGGAAGAATCATTGTTAAGACGAGTGAAAGGCAGGAGAGAGCTGCGGGTGCTTGGAGCTTCAGAACTTACGGTTGTAAGAAGGGGCTCAGAAAGAGGACTTAACTCTGAGAAGGAAAATGAGGAGGAGAAAGGAAGTTACAAAGTACAGAGAAAGCCATTTTGAGGGGCAAAAGGGAGGTGAAAAAGAAAGAACGAAAAGAGGAGTGAACTTTCTCAATGAAGAGAGACTTTTGGGAGAGGCAGTTTGTTAGAGTACCTAGATTTTTAAGATCTAATTGTTTAATAGTTAATCTCTTTGGCTAGTTGGAATTAATATTTAACATTAGGAATAAATGTTGCGTGAAATAATTTTTAGATAACAATTCTTGCTAAGTCTACTGGACTGTAGTTTCTGGATTATTAAAATCCCGATCTAGATGCAGAGTTTGCTATGATTAAGTTGGCAGCAACCTATTTCCCCCCTCTTTTTTTGTGGAATGGAAATAATCGTAGGAGTAAATTCTCTTTGCTGAGGTCGGAGGACAGCTCTGCTCTCAGTCGTCTGTCTCGGTACTTTCTGGCTGGGGAAGGATCTGACGTCTCCTTCCCCCGCTTCTTCCTCTCCCTCCCCTGCCAGAGATCTCCTTTGTTTATTAGTGGGTGGCTTGTAGGTGACTCTCCAGTGTTGTGCTGATATGTTGAAAGGTGGAAATGTTGTATCTTGGTCCATGATTTCTGCCCCAAACCCCCTACTTAAAAGATCATAGTGTATATTCTGTTACCTTTTTCCCCCGGAGGAATCTCTGCATGTCCAAACTGGATATATATACTGTATTATTTAAACTTAAAACTGCGCTATCGGTTTACCTGTGAAAGGATACGTTTATTTTGACCTGTACATTATTTTGGCTAAGATTACATGATACACTTTTACTCTCCTGTTCTCATGTGAGCATTTTCAACACTTCCCCTCGCTCTGGTATACGAAGTCCTTCGTGATAGGAATTAGTGCTTGGTTAAGGTAACCTTTTTCCCCCTTATTTCATTTGTTTGGTCAAGTATCTAATAAGACTATTTTCTATTCTTGGAACGTATGTATATGTTATATACTACCATTTTGCTTTAGTTTTTTGTCTATAATGTGTGGTATATACACACGGTTGCAATTAGTCTAAAAGTTCTATCGCTCCACAAATATTTTAATTTTTTCTGTCAAAAATAAGCAGTGGTGTGCTAAATTCTAGTAAGTAGTCAAGAATGTAGTTAATAGAAGCCTAGGTATTTTGAGAAAAAGACCCCCTACCCCTTCCTTACCACCTCTAATCTAGTTGGCCTAGATAGATTTGTATAAGTTCCAAATAGACTTATTTATCTTTTTGTCTACAGGAAATTTTCTCACTTTCTTAATTTTTTTTTTTTAGGTGAGTCAGAGGGTCCCAGGAAACCTGTGAATGTTGAAGAAAATTCATCTGTGAATTTTTGATATTCAAAGAGGAATCAGTATTTATATTCGTCTTTTAAACTGGGAAGATTTATATTTTATTTTAAAACTTCTTGATATTTACAATGAATGGACACAGTGATGAAGAAAGTGTTAGAAACAGTAGTGGAGAGTCAAGGTAAGTACTTTATTATCAAGTTTTTATTATGAAAACAGTTGAAAACTTATGTGACTCTTTTTAGTTTTTCTAATAGGTGGCAGAGTTTTCAGATTCACTGTTAGCTCTCCAAACATTAAAAAGTTTCTAATAAATAAAGCTTTGTTGAAAATACAGAGTTTAATTATTTTTTTCCATTGAGATGCACAAAGAGAAATTTAAATATAGAAAGTTTGGGATACTTAAATCTCTTTGGAGGTCTATATTGTTTGGGTTAATAATTGAAACTAGAGCAAGTAAAGGAAGACATTTAAATTGATTTGACTGTTATTGCACTCTCCAAACAAAGGCCATAAGAATTTCTTCACTCATTTTTTTCTGGCATTTTGTCTTCTATACCTGTGCTGTCCAGTGTAGTAGTCAGTAGCCACATGTGGCTATTTAAATTTAAATTTAAATTAGTTAAAATTACAAAATATTCAAAATTCAGTACTTAGTCACATTAGACACATTTCAAGTGCCGAATAGTCACATGTAGCTAGTGGCTACCGTGATGAATAGAGAAAAATTGAAAACATTTCTATCATGGCAAAAGTTCTTTTGGACACTGCTGATCTGAACATTTGTTAGAGTATTGCTGCAACACTTTTTTCCCCCATTACCTTTTCAAATTTGAGTTTTAATTATATATGACTGAGTTAAGAGTTCTTACGTGGGCCATGTCTTTGCAAAGAAGATATGGTTTATGGGAGTAAGCCATGTTAAGCTATTTTAATGTGTAAGAAACCTCTTCAAATACAAAGACTTTTAAATTCTTCTGTAGCCCCCCAGTTTTAAGTTACCAGCCACGTTAATAATGCAATCCCATGTAGTTACATATGTTTATCATATATGCTTATCATATAGAGAGGTCAGGAATATGGACACTGGGGTCAGACTGCCTGATTACTTACCCAGTTGTACTTATTAGCTGTGTGAATTAGGGCAGATTTTTTAGCCTCTGAGACTTAGAGTTTTGTATTTATAAAATGGGGATTATAGTATTATTTATCTTATTTAAAGTTGAGGATTAAATGAAATGCTACCTGTAAAGGTCTTAAAATAGTTCCTGCTATAATGAGCACTCTATATTATTATAATTAGCATCATATTTTATATAACATAGAATATTACATAACTGAAACATTAATTACAGTGATGGAGAAATGTGAAGGACAGGAACAGGAAAGTTTTGGCAGTTAAGAGGGCTTCAGGAAAATGTTGGATAGAAAATGAAGCAGTGGGATATGTATTTGACCTGAGGCTTGGGATTTTCTGGTTATGCTAGGTATACTTTATCAGTTTCACAGGCAGAATGTTTGGATAACAAGAACATCATAGAAAACAAGGAGTAGTTATGGGAAGCAGAATGATTTAGTAGAACAAGTATTGGTCTAGGAGTTACAAAACCTGAGTTGACCTGTCTCTGCACTAACCCGTTCTCTGAATGACTTCTGAACTGTAAAATAAGGAGAGTTGAATTAAATGATTTTGAAGTTTCATCCTACTACTTAATATACAAAGTATTTAACAACAGAGTTTAACTGGAAACGCCAAAGTTGAAGGGCTAAACTAGAAGACCTTTGAGTTTCAGCTTTGATTCCAATCTCTACAGGTATATTGACTGGAGTAAGTTAATAGGAGAGTCACATTGTCCACATTCTCTTGTTCGTTGGTGAACAATGAAATGGTTAATAGGTAGAAATATCTAGGGGAAACGCAGGAGCCTAACTACCCACGAAATAGGAAATAAGACTCTTGAGAGTAAATCTTCTGGTTGAGCATGTAGAGAGATCACATGCTGTTATATTCTGACCCCTTACATTTTCCAGTAATCTTTTATGTATTTTGCTGCCATATGTAAAGCAAAGAGGGAGTCTTAAATCAAATTTGATATAGTAGAGATGAAAAAAAATTAAACCCTGTGAAATCAAGTTTACTTGAATCTTTTACAATGCATACTCATTTTAAGTAAATGCAATGTATATTCTCTAATTATTCTGAGTCATGATTTCTACCATATAGGTTTTATGTACTTCTTAGAATCGTGGCTGTCAGGTTATCTAGTTCTTGCAACTGCCTTGGTGTTTATCTGAAGAAGGGAGACCTGCTTCTGTTTTCCTTTCATTTTCTTCCTTTCTGCTGTTACGCTGTCCTTTTCCTTTGCTCTACCGTAGTTACTAAGCCTCAGTGCCCCCATACCAGAAGCTTTCATAACAAGGCAGTACAGAGAAGGGAGATTGTGCCTAGTTAAAAAGAGTGAGGTGAACTTTATAGATACAGGGATTTTCTTGAAAAAACCAAAAGTCACCATAACTATGAATATTAATATAGAGTGATGAGGGGAGAAATATGCTTTTTTAAAAAAATAAAGCACACATCTTTTTTTTAATTGATTAATTTTTTTTTTTTTTTGGCTGTGTTGAGTCTTTGTTGGCTTTCTCTAGTTGCAGCAAGCGGGGGCTATTCTTCCTTGCAGTGCACAGGCTTCTCACAGTGGTGACTTCTCTTGTTGCAGAGCACAGGCTCCAGGCGCCGGGGCTTCAGTAGTTGTGGCACGTGGGCTCAGTAGTTGTGGCTAGCGTGCTCTAGAGCGCGGGCTCAGTAGTTGTGGTGCACAGGCTTAGTTGCTCCGTGGCATATGGGATCTTCTTGGGCCAGGGATTGAACCCGTGTCCCCTGCATTGGCAGGTGGATTCTTAACCACTGGGCCCCCAGGGAAGCCCTATGCTTGTTTTTAAAATTGATATATGCTGTAGAATTTGATTGTTATTGGCTAGAATTTTTACATGTATTTTTGCTTCAGATTTCCTTTTTTTCCTTCATGGAAATTTATGAAACGAAGTAGAATTAAGCAAGAAGTCATTTGGCATTTTTAGTTGGTATGATTAGCTTTCTACTCAAAAGTGTCTGTTTTGCTTCTTTTGATGTGAAAACCTTTCCGTAACCATTGACAGAAAGGAAGAAGAATACACAGGAGAACGTTTCTTTGGCTATGTTATAACTGACAATTTTGAAACTTATTTACTAAGAAACGTGTGTCAGGATGCACCTGTACCTCAGTTTCAAGTTAGCACAAAGTTTATTATATAACTGAAGTTAAGCTTTCTGAAGATACTATTGGAAGATTTCAAAGCATCAGTTCCCAGCTCTCTAGATTTCTGTTGTTAATTGTAATGAAGTTTTTCAAAGCCTGGTTAGACATTTTTTATTTTAAAGTTAACTTGAATGATGATTTGCTCCAGAAATAGATTTGTGGGTTTTGGACGATTGATAAATGCTTAATACTCAGAAGTAATTTCTCTGCTTGCCTGTAGATTAAATTTTCAATAATGTAAATTTGCCCACGTAAATTTGAGAATTTATTTTAATTGTTTAGTCTATATAGTATGCTTATGAAAAATTATCACAGAGTGAAGGAAATTTTGGTGATGTGTTATAACAGTCTTACCTACTTAGAATTGATCTAGAGCTGGCAACTGAGCTATATTGACCTGATTCTAAAAGAATTATTTATTTATTTGGCTGCATTGGGTCTCAGTTGCGGTACGCGGGATCTTCATTGCGGCGCAAGGGCTTCTCTGGTTGTGACATGTGGGCTCTAGAGTGCATGGACTCAGTAGTTCTGACACAGGCTCTCTAGTTGTGGTGCACGGGCTCAGTAGTTGTGGCACACAGGCTTAGTTGCCCTGCAGCATGTGGGACCCTAATTCCCTGACACATATCGAACCCACGTCCCCTGCACTGGAAGGTGGCCTGTTAACCACTGGACCACCAGGGAAGTCCCTAAAAGAATTCTTTTCCTTGATATATTATAGCTTTTTATAGCATTAACAGTGCTTGACCTAACATACTTATAAATATGTTTTAAATATATATGTGTGTAAATTTTATATTTACTTAGAGGAACTCTGTTGCAATTAAATTTCCTTGGCTTACTGAAAATATTTTAATTGTTTTAAGCTTCAAGAATCTTTGGGTCTCAACTTTGGAAGTGTTTTGAGTAGGCAGTGAGTAGGAAATATCAATGGAAATGTTCTAAATGAAAATCTCATTTTTAGAAATTCAGAGTCACTTAAACACTTTTTAAAGG